TTAAGATTGGACATGTGTGTCATGGGATGGGATCACAGGATGGTATCAAGGGATGGATCCAAGAGGGCTTGAGAGAGGAGGATAAGTGAATGGGACAGATGGACCACCAGACAGGAGAGATCTTCAAGGGGTTGAGACTGAGGAAATTTTGGTAACAGGATTCACAGCATGGCCCAGTTGGGTGCAGATTTGCTGTATCTGGGACAAATAGGCAGAGGTCAGACCCTGGATGGCACTCYAGGAAACACTGCAACCAGGTCCCAAAATTACAGATAAAGTAACTTTAAACCCCCTGTCTGACATGGCAGTGCCCCCACAAAGAGATGAAAACTACCCCGTGCCTCAGTTTCCCGGCCTAGGAGGGCTCCAGCCTTGACACCCTGGCCCTTGTTCCCAGCCAGCAAAGGAAACTGAGCTCAGGTGTCTCCAAGGACGAGGCACCAGAGGTCCCCTCCAGATGCCCAAGACTGCCAGCAGTCTGCCAGCAGCGAGCTCCAGGCCGGATCTGGTGGGTGCAGGAGCATCCTGAGCAGGGCAGGCAGGGCAGGGGATGATGGCAGGGAGCCCAAGCATCACAGGGTGCCCAAGCATCCTCGCTGCTGGCACTGGCAGCCCCAGGGATGGGCTGATGGGAGGGGAGCAGGTACGTGGATGCTCACGCRGGTTACGCGCCACCAAGGACTCTGAAGGACACGGGCCTTGGGTGGGAGGAACAGGGGCTCCTCACTGCAGGGCCCCCCATCACTGAGACCTGCTGTCCATGGGGGAGCACAGCACCCTAAGGCGGGTCCAGGGCTCTGTGGTGACATCTCTTGGCTTCCAAGGGCACCCTGACCCCAGCCCTCATCCTCAGCTGTCCCTYCAGCCCCTGCAGCTGCATCAGGCAGAAGTCCATGAGCAGCGACATCCCTCTGCAACAACAGACTGAGGCAGAGGAAGGGCCTGGCCCAAGGTCACAAAGCAGACGGAATCCATGTGGTCTGATCCTGCTGCCTCCTTGCCATCACCCTGCCCCTGGTCCCCATCACAGCCCCAACAGCTCAGCTTTCAATCCCACCCCAAAATCACGTGCCCAAGGTAGCAGATCCACCCTCAGCACTGCTCCCTCCTGCCCTCCAGCCCCTGCCAAGCCATGCACATCCTGCCCGTGGTGCAGCCTCTGCAGCACCGCTGGGTACCACGGCCCTGCCCTTTGCCGCAGGGATGCTCGCCGGGGAAGAGGCTCGGGATGCAGGGGATGCAGGCAGCGAGGAGAGAGGGGCACAGAAAACCCACAGCCCCAGCGAGGAGGGGCGTGGGGCTCACAGCACCCAGGGGTGTCTGACAGAGCCCATCCATGTCCAGGGTCACTGCTCACCGCTGCAGTGCTCCCACCTCACTCACCCCTCTGCACCCGCCTGTTGCCATYGGGTGTTGCCATCACCGCAGAGGCTGGAAAGCAACCGAGGGTCGCTCCCAAACGACCAGAGACCCTCTCCCTCTGCAGCCCAGGGGGTGGGCGAGGGGCAGCGTGCCCCCAGTCAGCCCACAGCCCACAACTGCTCACCCTCGGCCTCGGCACAGCATCCCTGCCGGCCTCGGGGAGGACACGCTCAAGGACAATGCGTCCCCAAAACCTGCAGCACATCAGGGATGCGGCAGCAGGGCTGGGAGCAGGAAGGGCTCCCCAACAGCGGGTCCTCCCTGCCCCAAAACCTGCCTGACCCACACCGAGCCCTGCTGGGTGCAAAGGCCCAGCCCGGGCAAGCAGGAGAGACACGCTGGGGCAAAAGAGCCGGGAAGGGAGGGCAGCGAGCAYGGGCACGGCGGTACCTACCCCATCCCAGCACTCGGGCATGGTGAGCAGCGGGGCGGCCGGGGATGCTCGGGCGCTGKGGGCCAAGCCGGAGGTTCCGCTGCTGGGCACGGTAACACAGCGAACGAGAAGAAGCAAAGCTCTGCGCTGGCTCAGCCCCTCGCCCGGATTTATAGCGGAGCCCCAGCCCTGCGCTAAGCCCTCCCTCTCCCTTCCCCCTCGGCAGGTTTGGCCTCCATTGCGGGCGAGCGCCGCGATGGAGCCAGCGCTCAGCCATTGGCTGCCGCGGGAATTATTCATGCTCCAATTGGCCCCAAATACCCTTGTTTATGAAGAAAAACCGCCTGGCACCGTGCGGTACCTTCTCCATCTTCCCTCTTTCGGGCACAGGCGGGCTGTCTGGAGCCGCATCCCGGCGCGGGCAGGGCAGCGCTCCCTCCCTGTGCCCGCTGCGCACCGCGGGCTCCAGCCCCACAAAAACCCCACAAAAACACCACACGGATGAGCCTGCAGCCCGGCCAGGGCCCTGCAGCCACGCTCCGGCCCCGGGCAGCACACACACGGCCACAGATGGGCACGGGCACGGCTAAAAAACAGGAGAAGGACACGGCAGGCGAGCTGTGCCACCCACACGTGACCACGCGTGTGCATGCACAGGAACACGTACGGACACGGACACGGACACACAGGGGCCGGGAAAAAACGGGAAAACTGGAAACATTAATGCCATACCCCAACATGCACCCCACAAAATGCTTGTGCATTCTGCCAGGGCCAGGCCTTGTGCGTGTGCATGTGTGTCAGTGCGTGTTCCTGCACATGTATGTAGTGGTCACGCGTGTACCAAAAGCACACCTGCTGCATCCTCCTCCCGTGGGCTCAGCATGGATGCCATGGTCATCACCAATGCTCACGGACACCAGAGCCTTGTACGTGTATGTGTGTGCTCAAAGGGCACACACATGCACACAGGGCACACACATGTACACCTGTAAACGCTGCCCAGACACCTGTGTTACCTCGCCCAGTGGCACAGTGATTCCACCTGCTGCAGGATGATGGCACGCAGGGGATGGCCAGGATGTCCAGGATGTCCCAGGACATTGCCAGTGGCAGGTAAATAAAGCAGGAGGAAAGGCGAGCCAGCAGCACCGAGGGCATGGATTGTGACCCTGGGCTGACACATGCTGTGCACACACACACACACACACACACACACACACACACACACACACATGTGAGTATTCCATGTGCACATGTGTGCAGGCAGATGGTTTCTTCCCTGATTTTAATGAGGCCTCATGCCACCACAGCCCCAAAAGCCTCCCAGCAGTCTCTGAGTGCCCTTTCCCTGCACCCTGCCTGCCCCTGCCCAGCTTGGCATCACCAGCACAATTCTGGGCAATGATGGGTAGGGAAGGAGCCTCATGGTCCCTTCAGTGCCCTTCAGAGACCCACTAAAAGCCATGTCCTACAAATGAATCAGGGCTGGGCAGCCCGGTGTGGGCGTGGAGGAAGGACAGACAGGCAGAGGGATGGCATTCACCCTGCCTCCAACAGTGAGGCTTTGCTCTGCTGCTTTGCTTTGCTGTTTTGTCCCATCTCTGAATGAAGATTTGATGGGGAAGCTCAGCTCCCAGGTGGTTCCTGGCACTCCAGGTGCCATTTTTGCTTGCCCCAGCCCTGCTTCCTGTAGAGCCAAAGACTGTGACAGCCACAGCCCCCGAGAAAAAAACAAGAGATGCAGAGGGACAAAAAAAGACAGAAAGTGGCTAAGAAGGGGTGGAAGAGCCAAGATGAATCCAAAAGAGCTGCAGGGAGATGGGAGGGCTGAGCAAGGCTGACTCTGCTTGAATAGCATCAAATGGGATCGCCACCCCCTTGGCTACTAGCCCATTTGCCTGGCAGGTGGCCCAGACCTCCTGCTGGATCCAGGGCACCCAGGTCCCAGGGCACCCGCCCCCAGCTCTCCTGAACCTTGGCTGATGTCCCAGGACCTTTATTTTGGCTGGTGGCAGCATTGGGGGCTCCCCAGTCCCCCCCACTGCCCCAGCCAGGCCCAAGCTTCCCATCGAGTGCCTGGCTCTAGAGAGGAGCAGAGGGACAGTGATGAGTAAAGATGGGGGCTGGACCGAATTGTCCCAAGGAGGTGAGCCTGGAAAATGGGGTAAGATCTCCCCAGGGAATGGCAGGCAGCCCCCAGCCTTTGCACTGAACCAACTTGCAAAAGTCAGAGTGGGGAAAAGAAGGGGATTGCCTTGGCATAGCCCAGGAAACCATCCCATCCCTTCCCTGAGGCTCTTGGAGGGGAACCAAGAGGACGAAGAGCCTGGCTGGCTTGGGAAAAGCTGCCTTGATCRTTGCCCAGTTCCTTTTTTAGGTCCTGAGGGCATGGAGGTGCAACCCTGTGGCATTTGCTGCCCAGAACTGCTCCACTTGGGCTCCACCAGGGACACAGCTCAGTGCCACCACCAGCCAACCCCTGAAACATGCAACCATTGTCCTGGGAGGGTCATTGCTCTTAACATCCCCTGCGTGCCAAACAGGGCCTGCCCCAGCACAGCTGAGCCATYCTGGTGCCTGTGGTGCTGCTGAGAGCTCTGGGCAGCCTGGCACTGCCCCCTCCCTGCCCTCCTYRCCTCCCTCTCCTTCTCACTCTCACTTTGGTGATCCCAGGAGGTTTGGTTTCCCCTCCAGTGGCCAGAAGAGCAAGGAGCCCCATGGACCCTGCTGCTCCCAGCCCAGCCCTTMACCAGCTTTGGAGCTGCTGGGGAGKGCCATTTTARTTATTTTGTGGCTTTCAAGAGGGCCATCATATACCTCCCACTCTGTGAGCCACAGCAGTCACCACCCAGCATCCTGCCAAAATGCCTCGCTCCCTGACTGGCTGCACCCTCCTACATGCTTGGGTGACAGACACTGAGTCGGCCAGCCCCAAAATCCTGGGCACTGCTAAAAGAGGGACCTGTGCTCCCCTGCCCTTATTCCAGGATGAATGAAATCCACGTTTATTTTGTCCTTATAGGCTGTTGTTTCAGGCCGTACCTGMAGGGGCTCAGCCAGCACCACCCAGTGGTCCCACCCCTGGCAAAGTGGCAGCAAACAGCCTGAAATCAATCACTGCTGTCCCCTGGGAGGGGAACGCTCTGGGAGAGGGACAGGCAGCAAGCTGGCAGCCCCACTACCCTCCCTCCCCACCAGCCTGGTGTCCACAGAGGGAGCCTGGGGCAGGATGAGCCTGGGCAGAGGTGTGAGAGCGATGCTGACCAGCATGGGAGCCAGGCACAGGCTGAGCTCCCAGGAGACCCAGAGCTGTGTCATGGGGCTCCTCTGAGAGGAGAAATGGAGGGACAGCATGGGCAGGTGCCAGCCAAGGGAGCAGAGGGGCCCTGCTCTCCAGGAGAGGTGGGTGGCATAGGGGGCAATGCCCCAGCCCTCCAASAGAGAAAGAGGCTTTCAAACATCCTTATGTAAGCAGGGAGCTGGCATTGCCKGGGAAACCATTGCCATGGCGATGGCAGAGGGGCTGGAAAAGCAGCTCGGCCTTCCTGGGAAGAGATTGCCTGTTTTAAAGGTTTTGTCCCCAGCCCGTGGCCAAGTGCCCACCGGCCACAGAGAAAGAKCCTGGCAGCATCACCCATCCCCTCCTGACAGGGACCGTGATGGATGAGCAGCCCCATGTCCAGACACTGACCAGGCACATGAAGGAGGGGACAGTAACACCCCTGAGAGCACTCAGCTGCTGTCCCCTGTGAAACCCAGGGGTGGGCAGCACCTCCCGTGGCTGCTCCTACCTTCCAGTCCGTGTCCACAGCGGAGAGGAACACATCCGAGTTCTCCTGGGGTGAGAAGGAGCCGTTAGGGACAGACACCCTCACTTTGGCAGCACCCTCCCACTCTCACAGCCCCCTGACACCACAGGCACCCCCTCCCCGGGCTGCAGGGGACACATGTGCACACACACACACCACACACACACCTCTGCAACAGCTGCACGTGTGTTAACTGCGTGTGTGCACATGCATAGGCGTGTGTTAGCATGATGTGCAACATCTGCACACACACACACACACCAAACATCATCCCACCAAACCAAACCTGTGCTCAGCCACGCAGGCTCATCGACACCAGCACACACACACAGATGTGCACCTAAAAGCAGTACATGCACACAGATGTGCACCTAAAACCATCACACGCACACAGATGTGCACCTAAAACCATCACACACACACAGATGTGCACCCAAAACCAGTTCATACACACAGATGTGCACCCAAAACCATCACACGCACACAGATGTGCACCCAAAACCAGCACACTCACACAGATGTGCACCCAAAACCATCACACGCACACAGATGTGCACCTAAAACCAGCACACACACAACAGATTTACACCCAAAACCAGCACACTCACATATGTGCACCAAAGCCAGCACACACACAGATGTGCACCCAAAACCATCACATGCACACAGATGTGCACCCAAAACCATCACATGCACACAGAGGACCACCCAAAACCATCACACACACACAGATGTGCCCCCAAAACCAGCACACACACACAGATGTGCCCCCAAAACCAGCACACACACACAGATGTGCCCCCAAAACCAGTGCATACACACAGATGTGCACCCAAAACCAGCACACACACTGATGTGCACCCAGAACCAGCACACTCACAACAGATTTACACCCAAAACCAGCACATGCACACAGATGTGCACCCAAAACCATCACATGCACACAGATGTGCACCCAAAACAGCACACACTCACAGATGTGCACCCAAAACCAGCACACACACACAGATGTGCACCCAAAACCAGCACATACACACAGATGTGCACCCAAAACCAGCACACACTCACAGATGTGCACCCAAAACCAGTGCATACACACAGATGTGCACCCAAAACCAGCACACACACACACAGATATGCACCTAAAACCAGCACACGCACGCAGAGAACCACCCACATGCCCAAAACCAGCACACAAGCCCTCCCAAGCTCCTGCCGTGCATCCCGGTGCCCCACAGGCAGGAGGCAGAGCTCACCAAACTCACCAGCTCGGTGTCCTGTCCCCGCAGCAGCGGCTTCTCCTCGGTGAAGCGCAGCTCGTGCAGCCCTGCCATGGTCATCTCCTGCAGCAGCAGCCCTGCCCAGGGCAARGGAGATGTCAGGGCAGGTCCTGCCTCACTCCTCTTTGCCCTCTGGAGCCTCGTGGGTCTCCCTCACACAGGGATGGGACCCAAATGAGCCTCACTCCACCCATCTAGTGTGGGGACTTGGTGCTTCAGCTTGAGCAGGGGCTGCAGGGAGCCCYTCTGCCTCAGCTCCCAGCTCCTACCCAGGGCCAGTTCTCCCAGTTAAGGACAAACCTGTCTCCAGGGCATGATCTTGGGCCAAACTGAGGGACCAACCTCATGTGTCCGTGCTGGTCACCTCAGTAAGCACCCAGTCCAGAGCAAGAACATCCAAATTCCCTTCCCAGCTTACAGCATCGGTCTAAGATGGAAAATCCAACTTTTTGGCCAGTTTTAGGCTGCAGATGGGGACAGCCAGAATGAGGGGTGATGTTTCTCAGCCATGCTGGGAGGCAGAGGGATGTTCCAAGCAGAAAGAGAGCAGAGAGACGGACAGAAGTTTGTATAGCAATGATGGGAGAAATCCAAATGCGAAGCCTTTGCTCCCAAAGTCTTCTCCTTGCCGTGAATCAGGTGCTGGTCACTCGGTGCCTCTGCCCCACACTTGGAGGGACAGACTTCATGGAGCTGTCGCTTGGCAGCGGTGTGAGAYCAGGAGCTGCTGACCCCAACCAACACTGACATCTCCAAAAACAGCCCCAGGCACAAACCCAGCTCAGAGAGCAAAAGAGAGCAAGGAGATCAGCAGCTGGTTGCACGTAGAAGGTAAAACACATGAGGACACAGGGAACAATCCAGGCTCCCCGGTGTTTTAATGGGATGTGGCCCAGTRTAAGGGAATTATCTGCACTCAGGCAGGATCCACACCTCAGGCACTGCCTTTGCAGCCTCTCTTTTCACCCTTTCCACAAGCCCAAGCMTTTGGAGAAGTTGTTGCTTCTCCAAATGAGCCAGCACTGATCCCACCCATCTCAGCTGTCCCCCACTGTGCAGTCTCCCCAGATACAACAGGGGTGGTTTGGGCTGTACCCAAAACCACCAGCAGACACAGACCAGCAGACACGGACCCATCCCCACAGCCTYGACCGAGCCTGCTTCACACTTTGTYCACCTCCAAACCTAGATCAGCCCGGGCTGACAATGTGGAAAGGCCAAGAAATGCCACGAGCATTGCAATGCCACCAGGAATACAGGAGCTGGTCRTTAGCTCCCCTCCAAAGCCGGGTTTTGCTCCTCTGACCGGGTTTGCCTTTCAAAACTCAAGCAGGCTGTGCCACCTGCCTGCTTTCTGCAGACACGGCACTTTGCCTTGCTCCTTGGGAGCCATCCAACAATCCAGAGCTGTTTGGAGGGAGAAACACCCCTGCGAAGCCTCTCGAGATTCCCAGGGCACCCAGCACAGGAGTCTCCATGTCACCCCCTGCACAGAGGGTCCCACCAGGCCAGGAGTGTCAAGAGGTGCCACCAGCCCCATGGAGAGGCACAAGCGAGGGGCACAATGCTCCAGGCTGGGCTGCTGCTGCTGAGGAAATGGCTTTGAGCATGGGGACAGCCCTGGCCTGCAGCCCACCAGCACAGCCGAGCCGACACAGCCTGCAGAGCCACCAACCCAGCAACCCCACAACCCCAGGGGGAAAAAACAGCAGAAAAATCAGCCTCACCGATAGCTGGGTCTGGAAGAGAGCAGGAGCGTCCCGCGCTGAGCACACCRAGCCACCGTGTGGCCCCAGGGTGGCTGGGAACAGCACTTAGTGTATGGTGAATGCCTTTATTAATTACAGCCTGCAGCTAATATGGGAGGGAGGGTGGCTGAGYGAGGAGGAAAGGCCCYGTGACCTTGCTTGCGTGGTGGGGGRAARSYKGSYKGGGRAGGGACRTGGTAAAGCCCTGCACCAACCAGCATCCCCAGCATGGGATGGATGGTCTCCTAAAGTGGKGCTGAGTGCAGGGATGGAGGAGAGATCAGTAAGTCAGGGAGTCCCAGGGGTGCCACAGACCATCAGCAGGGTCACAGCCATGCTGCCACATTCCCTGAGTGCTCTGCTACCCTGTGCTAGGGTAACATGTCCAGCAATAAGCCATTTTTCTTCCAGCTCACCCCAATGTCCCCAAGCACCCATTCCCAGGGTGCCACCYCGAACAAACCCCTCTCTGCTCCCCCTCTGCCTTCCCAGTGTGGTGCCAGTTTCCTAGGCACGGCTGGGATGTGTCTGTTCCCTAATTCCCAATCAGTCACAAGCCCAGCAGGACATAAGTGCTCTGTCTGGGACTAATGCTCTGCCTCACCAGGGCCCTGGCACTGTGTCTATAGCTGGGGACAAGAACAGCCACATTGGCTTACCTTCCCCAGGGATCTGCAGCCCACTGCTGGCTGGCATGCTGGAGGAGAACCAGCTTGTAGCAACAYTATTATTATTATTATTATTATTATTATTATTATTATTATTATTATTATTATTATTACTTCATGACCACAAGCGCTCCATTTCACACTCGGCAGCGTGTTTGGTGCCAAGGCAGGGATCCCCTCCCTGTCACAGTAGTCCCTGCAGCGGTACCTGCGTCCTGCCCTGGCTCGGATGTGGCACCCACAGGATGTTGGCACGGACGCTTSGGGCTGACTGAGCAGCGTGCAACCAACAGGCAGACAAATCGGGAGAAGTGAGAGCTGGCCCCTGCCAGGCAGCGGAGCCAAGGCAGCCTTCAGCGAGGCTGGCAGAGGGAGGAAGGGAACTTGCAGCTCAGTCTGAGCCTCGGACGTGCGCCCACAGCGTTGCCCCCGGGGGAGCCGCGATGGGGTGAAGGAAAAGCCCRGTGTGACACAGCCTGGGCCACATCCCGCCCCACCGGTGCGGCAGGAACACCCCCAGCCTGCTCTGTCCCCGCGAGGGGCACAGCTCTGCACCCCAGCACCCCCACACAGCGGCCGGACAGTGAGGTCCGGCTGACGGACACGGGACTGGGCAGCCACACGGCGAGAGCCACACCGGGGGAGCGGTGCCGCCGGGGCMGGGGCAGAGCAGCGCAGGGTCTGGGGGTGGCGGTGGCAGCAGGGGCTTTGTCGGGGCTCAGGCTGTCTCGCKGTGGCTGTTGCTATGAGCAGCGTCCTTCCCAGCCCAGCGCATTCGTCGGGGCAGCGGSGAGACTCCCGGGAGAGGCTGGCTGAGGAGCAGGGAGGCACCGCAGGGATGCTCCAGCAATCCCCGGGCACCCCCACCCCCCGGCTGTCTGCTGGGCGGCCCCCCTTGCCGAGAGGCTGCCGGCTCCGTCCCCCCTTCCCCCAGGGCTGGGCTCTCCCCGCCGCAGCAAGGGAGAAAAGGACCCATCCCCAGCCCACACCTGCGGGAGCRCGGCCGGCGGGGCGGGGGTGCGGGCAGCTCCATCTCCCAGGCGGGGGCTGCAGGGTCTCAAACCCCGGCCCTATCACCCATCGCCCCTCCTCGCCCCGCACCCCCCGTTCACAGCACGGGCGGCCGGGCCGTACCTGTCAGGAGCTCGATCTTGTGCCGGAGCACCTTCATAGCGGGGCGGCGATCCCGGCGGGCGGGGCGGGCTGCGAGCGGGCGGCGGCGGCCCCGGGGCCGGGGGGAGCGAGCGGAGCCGGTGCCGGTGCCGGGGGGAACGGAGCCGGTGCCGGGTGCGCGGGGCGGCGCAGGGGCTGGGCTGGGCACGGCCCCGCCGGCCGGATCCTCCCCTCGCCGGGGCCGGAGGGGAGGGACGGGGCCGGGATGGGGAACGGGGGCACCGGGAGAACAACGGCGCTGGGGGAGGCGGGAGCGAACGGGAGATGGAGGCTACGGGGTTACACGGGGGATGGAGCGCTGCGGGGTTACACGGGGGATAGAGCGCTGGGGAGTGCGGGGTTACACGGGGGATGGAGCGCTGGGGAGTGCGGGGTTCCACGGGGAATGGAGCGCTCCGGGGTTACACGGGGGATGGAGCGCTGGGGAGTGCGGGGTTACACGGGGGATGGAGCGCTGGGGAGTGCGGGGTTACACGGGGGATGGAGCGCTGGGACTGTGCGGTTACACGGGGGTTGGAAGCTGCCGGGGACCGGCACACCTCACCCTGAGGGAACCGTGCAGGTTCCAGAGTGGGAGCATGATGGCCAATAGGTCCAACAGGTCACTGTGGCCATGGAGACCCACAAACAGGGAACAGTGGGAGCCCAGAAATGGACCATGCACAAGGGGTCAGGCATGAGAGTGGGGGAAGGTGATAATCAAGGTGCTCGAGGAGGATCTGGGACAAGAGGGAACCTGTGCACAACAATGACACCTGGAACACAGCCATTGTGGCCAAGGGATGTAGGGAGTGCTGGAGAGTGGGGCCAGGACGGATAAAGGGCTTCGGAATATCCAGGAACAGGAAACACGGATGACAGGGGACCTGAGGGTCCTCTGGGGCACAGGAATGCAGGTTCCCCTGAGCACTGGATGGTCACAATCAGGGTTGCCAGGTGGTTCCAGGATAAGGAGGACCTGTGCAATGAGGGTCCCCACAGCAGGGCCATAAAGGTCTGGGGCTGTCAGGGAATGCAGATGGTGATGGTCATGAAGGGTCACCCAGGAGTGGAGGCCATGACTAGGGTCATGATGACCCCGTGCACACTGGGGCTGGAGAAATGTCTGTTCGTACTGACTTTCATCTCTCTCCCCAGTACATCCATTTTAACAGCTTGTCCCAGGCTTTTTGGATGGCAACCAGATTTCAGCTGATTTCAACCTATCCGCTGAGTCACCACGAGCTCTGCATCCAGGCTGCATTCGCCTTCTTACTTCAAAGGCAGGAAAAGCCCATGATATCAGGGACCTTTAAATCCCTCAGCTAGGAGCCAGCCCCTCACCTAGCACTTCAATGGGGTCAGATCTTCCCTACCTCCAGCACTGCCTTCCCCCCTCTTCTATGAGTCCAGCAGCCAGGGGGTTTTCTCTGAACTGATCAGGGATGAGATAGTGTTGGTTCTGATCTTCTTGACATTGTTCACATTTAAACCTCCTCCTCCTTCAGTTGCCTGGGATTTCTATGGGAATAAATGATTTTTCATGCTTAGGATTTGTCTTCTCAGCAATGACACCTGCAAGTAGAGAGGCAGAGGGGCCAGAACTTCTGAACCTATTGATGCCTTTGATGGCATGAGGGAGGTGGCAGAACTAGAGGGGACCTTTAATTTCCCCTCTCTCTGGAAGAAACCCGGAAAGATTTCATGAAAAAGGCAGGGACCATAARACTGCAACAAAAATGTTCCAGCATGACCCTGGAATTTGCTTTGTTTCCAGCAAAACTCCTGTTGTAATGGTGCCATCTYGACCTGGCAGAGGTGAGCTGGGACCCCTAACCCTGCTGCAGGTAGCTCTGCACCCCTTGGCCACCCTTCCCAGTGCTGGCAGTGCCACAAGGATCTGTCCCATGAAGGACAGCTGGTGGTGGATGGAGCACACAGCTGCCATCAGCAGAGAGGGACGTAGAGGTGGCCAGCACAGGAAGCAGAGGCCTGAATCCAAGCTCCAAGGCAGGGCAGGGATTGACAGCTTCAGGCTGCATCCTGCACTGCACACAGGGCTGATTTTGGGGAGGAGGAGAAGCAGCCTGGGGCAGATGTGCTGGCTGGGGACTGGCGCGATCGATGTGCCCGTATYGAAGGGCTCCACGGGGATTGGGTACCACCCCGAGGCACAGGCAGTCCAGTGAYGATGTGCAGAGGAGTCACAGCTAAATTTAGCTTCAATTGTGCGTGAGTGTGATGTTTTTATTCTTGCCCTTAAATAAAGACATGGTTTGGAGCCAGTGGCTGGTGGTTCTGCCTTGCTCAGCCCTGGACCCTGGATGGGCTTGTTTTAGTCAAGCTGTTCTAAAGAGAGAGAAACAAGAATTAGCAGTTAGTGAGACATATCCCAGAGACCTATTTTCAAAAATGCTCAGGAGCCATTTCCCAGCAGTGCATACAAAGCAGTGAGAGTGTGACTTTGGTGGCTGTGGGGATGTGCTGGTGCTGAAGAAACGGTGTTTCCCACGTAGAGCTGCTCCATGGGCATGGAATCACATGCTGGAGCCTTGACCATAGTGAGGGGTGGCTTGAGCTTGAGGYAGCAGTGCTGGAGCACCAGCTGTTGGTGATGGGCCCATCCTGCAKTCCATCTCAGCTGGACATCCCACCCCTAGGGCAGGCACAATCTTACACCCCCAGCCTTACATCTGCAGGGCAGCAAAAGGCCCACACCTCGCTGCCTCCAAAATAATCAGAGCCAGAATGACAGCAGGGCAATTCAATCTCGGGTGCCTCAAAAGAGACACCTCAAACCCTGCCCAGAGCTCCCAGATTGGTGCCAGGATGGGTTRGTCCCCCCAGAACTGCCGGGATTCATGCAGAGCAAGGCAGGGCTGCACTGTGCATGAACTCAGGGCTTGGCTGTGGACAGGGACAGGAACAGGGACAGGAACGGGGACAGGGACAGGGACAGGCAGGGGCCAGCCCTGCTGCTCCACAGCCTGACACCACACATTCCACAGAAGCTGCCTGGGAGGTGCAATCCTGCAGGGAGCTCAGCATCCTCTCCCCASAGCACAGCTCACAAGCCCGGGCTGGGAGCACAGGCTCCGTGACCTGGCACAGGGCAGAGCTGTGCCCTGTGTGCCCCACAAAGCATGTGCTGGGGCTGGCCAGCTGCCCGGCCCCCCCGGCTGCCTCCTGCCCTCCAAGCACGGGGCTACCAGTAATTTTCCATCCTGGCTGTGAGCTCTGCCCTAACGAGATGTTCTGCTATGTCCCTCTAATAGGGCTGGGCTCCATTCAAGTTCCTCTGTTCATTCAGACCCTGAGTCCCCCCTGTTTTGCTGCCCAAGCTGCCCTCCAGTTCAGCAGGGCTGCTCCTCCGAGCCCTGTTCCTCCCGGTGCTCACAGCCCCTCTGTCTCAGGGCAATGGGATGATTTTGTCCAAAAGCAAGGAGAAAAAAAAAAAAAAGAAAAAAAGACCAGCAACCAGCCAAGAAAAATTCCCATGGCTAAGCTGCACTGGGGCCAGGAACAAGGCAGCCCTGGGGGTTTCACCYTCAGCCATTTCCAAAGCTGCCTCTGCACAGGCACCTCTGCCTGCTACTGAAGGTCTGGGTCCATCAGCTGCACTGAGCAGCTGAGCATGTCGGAGTAAAGTTGATTTCCAGAGCAAGGTTCCTAGCCCTGGAGTGCWGTGTGCCTGCAGCGTGTGTGCAGCAGAGCGCTGCCTTCAACTCCTCCTCGCAATGAAGCTGCTCAACTCTGACCTCAATTTAGGCACTCACTTTGTGGGTCTGGCGAGCTGCCCACCACCAGGAGACACCTCTCTGGGAGGGGCAATTYTGTGCCCATCTGTCCGGAGCAGCCCCCTCGGTCCCTTCCTGCCTCCTCGCAGCCCCAGGAGCCGGCAGCAGCAGTGCCCAGGCTCGCTGTGCTGCTCCTGCCACGGCGCCTGTTCAGAGCCAAGCCGGGCTTTAAATAAACCCCTGTCAGCAGAGGCAAGCCGGGTGCTCAGAGTGACGGCATGTGTGTGTTTAGCAGGTTGATGGGCGTGAGACAGAGCACAGACAGCRGGGGCTCTCTCCTCAGAGGCCAGAGACTGGCACGTTCTCAAAGGCAGCATTAATCAGCATTTCCAACTGCACGACACCTATCACAGCTCAGCAAAGCTGCCCACTCTCACCTTCCCTGGGAAGATGGAATAATGCCATTTCCAAGGGCTCACCTCTCTAGCTGCAAGCTGCTGTGATGCTTTAGGGGGAGGGTGATACATTGGGAACACTCAACTTCTGTTCTCAGAGTTTCCACGGTTGCCCAGTCCCCACCAGTGCAGCCACCTGCAGTCCYTCCTCCTTGCTGGTGAAGAAAACCTTCACAGGAGCAGCCAAACACCCATCTCCCCTTGCCTCCACCCCACCAGCTCTGCCCCTGACCTTCTCCTTGACCCTCAGCTGATCAATACCTCTAGCTCTGAGGGGATCCATCAATCCTAACGATTTCATCCCACTTCTCACTAATGCACTCTCTTGTTGCACTGTGCTGGGGCCATGGACCCAACAGATGCTGGGAGAGGGGCAGAGGGCTAGCCAAAGGTGGGTCACTGCTGTCCCAGGACAGCACATTAACTCTTTACAATGCTTCCCTCTCACTACCTCAGGCAGCTCTTCATCTCTTCCTCCCACAGCTCCTGGCTCACTGGRCAACCACAAACCTTCCTCTCTCAACTCTCCAGCTCCCTGCACACTCATCCTCTCCTTCCGTTTTTAGCCCTGTCCCTTGTAGAAGCCTKAGACAAAACTAAGATGAATTCCCCAGATTGGTTTAGGGAGAGCTGGCCTGTGCATTTGCCAGCTCAGGGGCATTAAACCCAATCCTTGTGTCACCCAGCCCTGCACAGAGTGGTTTGCACCAGTGGGTGACAGATAYCCACCCAAACCCCCTTCTCCTCCACCCTCCACGTGCTGCTGGGTCAGTGCTGCACACCCCTGGGGTAGAATGTCCCCTGGTGCTGCTGCAGGCTGTGTGACCGTGCTGCTGCTCCATAGCTGGTCCTGGCAGGGCTCCTGGAGCCCCATTCCACAGGCTGGGCTGGGCTG